GTCAAAAAAAAAAAAAAAAACTTAAACTGAAATTTTGTGAGAAAATTGTGTTGATGTTTGCTACTCTGTTTGTTTCATACTTTTAGCGATTTGTACATTAGAACTTTAATATAATAATAATTATTGTTATAATTTTTGTATAAGATATTCCACCTCCTCCTCTTCTCCTCTTCTCCTCTCCTCTCCTCCAGTCAGTTGCTGAGGTCTCTCACTGAGCCGTTTCACAGCTCTCCCTCCTCTGCAGACGGAGGCATCATCCACAGACAGTCCTTCCACTCTGTCGCTCGCTGTGTGGCTGCTCTGACCTCCGCCTGCCCCAAGGAGACACCGGGCACCGTGTCCGGCCTCATCCAGGAGGTTCGTCAGTCACGGCTCCTCCTCGAACTCTGGTCTTCTCCGCTCCGTCTCTGTTGTTTCTGCTCAGTTTTCAGTTATTTCCTTCTCCTCAGGTGAAGAATCCTGGTTCTCCTGAGTCTGCTCGTGTCCTGGCTCTACTGAGTCTCGGCGAGGTGGGGAGGAGCGGCAGTCTGGGAGGAAGTAAGGAGGTGCAGGGAGTCATCCTGCAGGCCTTCACCTCCATCAGTGAGGAGGTCAGACACACTCCACAGGGTTTCCAGCTCTGCATGGATTAGTTTCAACTGGTACAAATAACCTTGTGTATACAACATAAAAGATGATTAATGGTCGGATCATCATTTCAGGTGAAGACAGCAGCCTCCTGTGCTTTAGGCAGCATGGCAGTCGGCAGCCTGAACGACTACCTGCCCTTCCTCCTGAAGGAGATTTCCACTCAGCCGCGGAGACAATACCTGCTGCTGCACTCGCTCAAGGAAGTCATCAGGTGTGTGTCTTCATGCTTGTGTTTCTTTTCTCCTTTTCACACCTGATGATTCCCTGCCTTTTCAAATCTGTCCTCATGAATCAACACACCTGAGCAGCAGGTAGTTTATTTAAATGTGAACGGTGGTGTGTTGAACATTGACGTTGCATCTGCAGCGTGTATAAAATGCTCTTGACGTCTTTTATAGCAGCTTCTAACATCTTCAGTTGATGTGCAACAGCAGCTGCAGAGAACTTTACAATCCACTGGTTCACTGTCTCTTTAATACGGCAGAGTTTATATACACGTCTCTGCTGATTGGACAACTCCTCTGACACACCCACCAAATGAGAGGAAACGAACTTCGAAGCTCATTTACCAACATTAAGAGCAAACATGACGTTCCGCTGAGTGAATAGTGGACCTGTTACATTTGTGAATTTGTTTTCCTTAATTTCTTTATCATTGTTAAGTTGATCAAATAAATGTATTTTGTCATGAAACTCTTTCTAATTGGTTAATGTCTGTGTTCAGTCACTCTCTCTCTCTTTCTGTCCAGTGCCTGTCCAACCTCTAGTCTCTCGCCCCATGTGGAGTCTATCTGGGCTTTGCTGATTCAGAACTGCGAGTGTCAGGAGGAGGGGACCAGGAACCTGGTGGCCGAGTGTCTGGGGAAACTGACGTTAGTCGACCCTGCACAACTGTTACCACGTCTGAAACAGCAACTTAAAGCTGGTACGAAGTGTGAGGGATGAAATATTTAACTTGTCCCACAATCTAAAGATGAAGATATGTCCCATATGTCTGTCTCCATTTCTTCCCACTATACAAAAATGAAACCATGAAATCAGCCACTAGTGGGGGATCCAGATGTTTTGGCTTCACTTTTGGCCGCTGCCATGTCGTCAATCTTTATTTACATTCTATAGTTTGTCCATTCATCCCATACTTTGTTTGCAGTTTTTAAGGAATACGAGGATGGCACCAAAGAAAATCAAAAGTTATCGTTCGTTTTCTGTGGTTCTGTTCAAGTTCAAATGAACAACTCTTTACTTGCCCCCTCACAGGTTCGGCTCTGGCTCGCAGCACAGTGGTGACAGCGATCAAGTTCACTATTGTTGACCAACCTGCTCCCATAGATTCACTGCTGAAAGACTGCATAGGTGAGTTTCCTTTTACTGTGGACAAACCTCTACAAATAGATTCTGCATGGGAATATACAGAATCTGTAGGTGAAGATTTCACGGCTGGAAGCCTCTTGTTCTCTAGTCACGCTTGAGCTTTGGTCGCCCACATGTAGACAATCTGTGTGGAGAGAGAAAGAGGTGGAGCACATTGACTGAAATGTGTTTTAATTAACTGAAATTGAAACTAGTTGGACTTTAAACGGTGAACGGATGAACGTTGCCCTCAGAGGCTAATTTGTCATCGGATGATAGTCGATAAACTCAGAGATTGAAGACAAACCTAAACCTAATCCTAATTCTGAGAGTTAGAACTGACTGCCACAGTTATTCTGACTTTTGGCAGCACCAGAGAAATCCTGCCTGCGTCGTCGGGGAGTGGAAACATCCACAATATTTTTTTAAAGGTAGTTTTTTGACATTAATACTTTAGAAATCAACAGTCAAACATTAAAGTAGGAAACAGGACAATAAAGTGGGGAAGACATGCAACAAATGGTCGAACCTTAACCTGCGGCTACTGAGGGAGGACTCAAACCTCCGTACATGGCCTCAACGTCCATTAAGGTTTTACCATCCTCAGCAGGCAGGCAGAACTTAGCCTACCCTGCTCTTTAGGAGTGCAGCCTTATGTAAAACTTAATACTCACACACATCATGTCTGTTTGTTTACTGTGACACCGTCTCTCTTCGTCTGGCAGGCGACTTCCTAAAGATGCTGCAGGATAAGGACCTCAACGTGCGTCGCGTGGCTTTGGTGATGTTCAACTCCGCAGCTCATAACAAACCGTCCCTGATCCGCGGCCTGCTGGGAACAGTGCTGCCTCACCTCTACAAGGAGACGCAGATCAAGAAGGACCTCATCAGAGAAGTGGGTTGTCTGGTTGGGAAGCTGAGGAAGCTGTTTACAGGGATTCTCTGTTAATGCAGGCGTTTTAAATGATTGCTCCCTGCAGGTGGAGATGGGTCCGTTCAAACACACGGTGGACGATGGTCTGGATGTGCGCAAAGCGGCGTTTGAGTGTATGTACACTCTGCTGGACAGCTGCCTGGAGGGGCTGGACGTCCTGCAGTTTCTGGATCATGTTGAAGAAGGACTCAAAGACCACTATGATATCAGGGTGGGTAGAAAAGACGTCTGCTGCTGGTGGAGTATAAAAACTTGGCATTTTGGTTTTTCCAGGAGGAAAAAACGGTTATAACACAGTAGATGGCGCTGTCACCCAATGTTATAGGTTCCTGTTAAGTGATGGTGAGTGATGAGTCGAGAGTTGATTATTAATCTCTAGAATTCATAAGAGTGTGTGTGTGTGTGTGTGTGTGTGTGTGTAGATGCTGACCTTCCTGATGTTGGCCAGACTCGCGTCTCTGTGTCCTGCTGCTGTTCTTCAACGACTGGACCGACTGGTGGAGCCACTTAAAGCTACCTGCACAACCAAGGTACACACACACATGACTGTACAGCTATCTTAGTGAGGACACTCATTGGCATAATGCATTCCCCAGCCCCTCACCCCAACCATCCAAACTAGATGTCTAACCCTAACCCTTAACCTAACCCTAACCCTAAAACCAAGTCTTGACCCCCAAACAGTCCATTAAAGGGGGGGCATTGGGCCGGTCCTCACTTTGTAGGTTAAAAGCTAAAACTGGTCCTCACAAAGACAGCTGTACAAACACACACACCCACCGACACCAAGTCCATAGGTGGTTTTTTTCCTCGTCTGTAACGTGGCGCCCCCTGCAGGTGAAGGCTGGTTCTGTGAAGCAGGAGTTTGAGAAGCAGGAGGAGCTGCGGCGCTCGGCCATGCGCGCTGTCGCCGCCCTGCTGGCCGTGCCAGACGTGGAAAGAAGCCCCAGCATGGCCGACTTCGCCAACCAGATCAGAACCAACGCTGACATGGCTTCTATTTACCAGAGCGTCCAGGGAGGGGAGGGTGGGAGCGGAGCCGAGAGCATGGACATGAGCTAGACTCCGGATGATGTTTCATTATTATGTGATTTTTTCCTAGACAGAGTTTAGATACAGTAGATAAAACACAAATCACTGTTTAAATGTATATTTTCCAACATACTTGTAAGTATAAAAATACATTTTATGACGGACATGTGGTAAATATGCAAAACTTCATGTTATGTCTTCTTGCACTTTAATTTATTTAATCTGGAATAAAGTGGAGTTAACTCTCTGAACACCTCAGTGCAGTTTGTCTGCTTTTATTTCATCAACAAAGTTCTGTAGAGGAACAACAGATTCAGCTCATTGTGTTTAATTAGTTTCACCTTTTCAGTCTCTGCCTGTTGCTGCTGGTTTTCTGCAGCACTTCCCACTGAAGTAACACAAGTAGAGACCTTTTATATTTATTTTAATTTAATTTATATTTTAAAGAAGAGAAAAATACAGTAGATCTTAAACTGTGAAAGATCTGAAGAAACCAGGACCACTACTGCTGTCTGTGCAGAAGAGGATGTTTGGATCTGGACACGTCTTCACATGGATTTCAGATAAGTTTAATAAAATTATGAGAGTCTAATAAAACTAAAACAACATATTTATTTGTTGTTAAAGTTTATTCATGTCATATCTGTAAAATATACAGTGAAACAAAGGTGTGATTCTGAAGACCTGTGTGAGCACACAAACAGTTAAAAGTTCTTATGTTTATTTCAGAGATGGAGAATTTTTACTAACGTCATGATTCTCTCACCAAATAGAAGTTTGTATTTAAGTTTGTATGTTCAGTTGATTCATACTTTCAGAGAAAGCACCTGAAAGTACAACAAGCTGAGAATCAGCCTAAGAAACTTTCTGAAACCAAAACCCTGCAGAGCAAATTATAAAAAAAGGAGAAACTTCACCTGCAGGTGTTGATGCATCAGAGGAAAGAAACACAACAGAATAAAAGATGGTGTCAAGAGAAAAATTCCATCAGCAGAAAATTGTCACACAGGAAGAGACATGTTTTAACAGTTTGTACAAAAAAAAGAGCTAATGACACTTTAACTGAGCTGTTTTCACAACGATACAACTGATTATGATGCAGCCTTTAAAGCTAAAAACATGATTTTTTTACTTTAGGTATTTGGAACAAAGACAAACGTACTTTGAACACTACAGTGACAATCATGCAATAACAAACACATGGAGAACAGATATTTGAGATGRGTTGTTGAGTCGTCAGTAGATCTTCTCCTTCCTTTCATACAATATTCTAATGAAATATTTACAACCTAAACTTCTACCTCTCCTGTGTATTTACAACCAACCAACGACATCCAATAAGCATGGACGCAGCATATCCACTTCTTCTTCTTAATGTACAAAAATTAAGCCCAAACATTGATACGGGCGCTGCCATCACGCTCAGAATGGATGAAGCAAATGACACAAGCACATAAAAACCAGGGTCCGAACACTCGGGCTGCAGATGTTGTAGATTTCATATTTTCTTCTCAGGGCTGATGTTTCCTGGCTGCTTGCTTGTAGACTGTCGAGTACAGACGAACCTCTGCAGCTCTGGGCTGTTGAATCACAGTAGAGTCTGTCGGACTTTGACAAACGTCACTGTAGAGTATTCGCAGGAGGAGGAGCTGGTTATGGGGAACAGAGCCTCGCCACCAGCTCTGTCAGAGCCRTTCTGATGGTTGATGGTGGCGTAAGTCGGTGAGGAAAAGTGGTTTGAGGTGTCAGGGACATGAACGGTGTTTGTTGCATTTCTTGAGTCTGGTGTCTGGAGATGCTCCTGTAACTCATCATAGACATAAACGTTCCAGAGAGGATGAGAAACACATTAATAACAAGCACAGTGTAAACAGYATGAACCGTCCACAACTACACACAGACATTTATACACCAACCTCTCTGTCCTGCTGTGCTGCTGCTTCATTTCTTCTGCTGTCTGAGCGAGAAAGTCCTGAAGGATGAGAACAAAGAAGAGATAAAACCAGCAAACTGAGACTCGATGGCTTCTCTATTTATCTCATTCACAACTAGAGACAAGGAAAAAAGAAACCATTTAAACTCCTGCCACGACTCAGGAGCAGAAACAATCAACTTCCAGACATGAAAGTGTCACGTCTACTCATCACTGTTGTAGTACTGTATGTCTACTGTGTCATTTGTGCAGGATAAAGACGTGTGAATGTGGTTTTGTGTGTCTGTGAGTGTGAATGTGTTAGTGTGTGTTCTGTGAACTGATAAAGATTCTCTTACGTATACGTTTGGTGACTGGGATGAGAATCAGCAGCAGAATCACAGAGAACACAATYACAGAGATGATCACAGTGACGAGGACCTTAAATCGTCCTGCAAGATAAAACACAGCAACAAGAAAACACGCAGCAGTCAACACATGTCACTATCATACATGATCATATTTCAGTGTGAAACATGTTAACATTTTCCTCTGAATGATTTTGTGCAGAAGAAAGTTAAGTTTCAGATCTCTCTCTCTCTCTCTCTCTCTCTCTCTCTCTCTCTTTCTCTCTCTCTCTCTCTCTCACCTTGATTCTCAGCCGATGCAGGAGTTGGTGCTGAAGGTTGAACTGAAAGCAAACACACACATTAGGTTTCACAAGAAATACATTTCAGAAATCCATTTGAAGTCTCATCAAAACTTATAATTTTTTGGGGGGGAAATCTGGAAAATAGGAACAAACTTCTCATAACACATTTTCAGTGTGTGTGAAATGTTGAAACTTGAGTTTTGAAAGGCGGACGTACACCAGCACATTTCTTTCACAGYTGAGTTTACAACACACTCTTCAGAGATTTGTTAATTATGTCATTCAGCTCTGATCTGAAACACCAGAACTGACGATCTGAACAAGTTTGGATCCTGGAGGAAGAGACATTCCATCAAAACCTTATGTCAGGCTTCAAAACCAAGTTTGAATCAGTAATAGTATTAGTAGTATTTACTACATGTATTTGTGTCTCTAAGATTAAAACAACTCACTTGTAACATTCAGGTGTATTTTTCGCAGTCCAACACGGGTTTTGTTGTCATCTTGGATTTTCAGTCCACACCGGTAGACACCAGCATCCTGCGAGGACACGTCCTTGATGGAAACGTTGAAGCCGCTTGTTGTGATTGTGAGTGAGAACGTCCCGTTTGACCTCTGAGAAGACTGTGTTGATAAAATCTCTTCACAGGTGTCACTATTATCTCTGCAGAAGAACTTGACGTTGGACTCTGAGATTCCTGGATATTCACATGTGAATGTGGTTTCAGCTCCTGTGTACGTAGTCTGATGAAGTGGTTTCTTGCAGACGTGATCTTCTGCAGATACTGAAGGTTGAAGATGACTGAACATTTATCTATATTTATCTGTTTCCGTCACTGAGAGTGAACTTCATGTTTTCACTTCTGCTTTGATAGAATGTCATCACAAAACCATTCACTTTGAATAAGATGCATGCTCTGCAAGATATCTGTTCTTTTAGAACAAATGTTTTATACATAACACATTAGATTTAATCATTTTATCTTAAAGTTCTTAAAGTTCTCCTGAACTCCAAATCATTTAGTCCATTTCTGCCGTTTTGTTTTGACAGACAGGAAATGTTGGACGTATACAGAAACAACATGCAGCCAATTGTCCGAATGGCCGTGAGTCAAAAACAAGGACTTGCCTCTCAGGTTATTTTAGCCCACGTGGTATTCGTCCTAACTCTGGCTCAGATATTTTATTAGCATCATTAAAGATGTACTATAAATATTGACTAACAGATTAATACATTGAACATGTCTCCTTCTCTTACCTATTAATTTTAGTTGCACAGGAGCTGTGTTGTTTTGGCAGGTGTAGATCCCAGCATCCCCTTCTTTAAGTGGATTCCCCCMAAATCTGACTCYTTTTGTATTTWKATTTTSATRTGGGTAAAATYTGCCAAATYTTTCCCACTTGTCATTTCTTGTATTTAATTTWAAMAAAGTTAAATCACCAGAATGGTTACAGGTTAATTCAAACCATCCTCCTGCACATCCCCTCACGACAGACTCGGCCTCACAGCCTGGAGATCAAACAAAGAGAAGAGTTCACGTCATGTTAGATACTGAAACCATCTCAGAGCTGCTGCTTTAATAAWCTCAATCTTTACTGAATCAGGTTCAACGTCATGGAGATTCAAGACACATGAGAAAACAGAAAGACTCACAATCCAGCAGCAAACAGAGACAACACAGCTCATAAAAACAATTAATAAAGAATCCTCAGATAATAAAGTTTTAAATCTGTAAGAGTGTGGAGGACGTTAGTTTGTTGGCAGTTTGCAATTTAACTCAATTTAAAAGGGTAAATGGGCAAATAAAGAATATTTACACAAAGACCCTGATTCAGATCCACGACAAAATGTCATGAGCTCTTCCCCGAGAGAAAGTGTATATATCTGTTCTGTAGTTTTACAAATAAATCAACGAACCAACAAACAAAAAACAACCTTARTAATGTTAATATTGGCCAAATCAAAGTTTTTCTACTCTACAGTCCTTGTAAAGCTGCAGGAAACATTTTCAGGATTTMAAATCACCACCACAAGAAGTAATAATATCACAACATCATGATACTATCACACGTGGACATTTTCCCAATTTCACTTTGAATATTTGATCAATATCAACAACGCACGTCTGCATGTTAAGTTTGAAGAAAGATTCAACATAGTAAAAGTGAAAACAGAAACTCATCCATATGAAAGTTCAGGAAAGAATAAACCCTTTAGTTTACATCTTGTGATCTGTAGCTTTCATCACTGTAATGTTGAACAGAGGAAGCAGAAAATAAACATGTTAAATGTCAGTGACAGTTTTTAGTGTCTGATTCGTGATGATTGTAATTTTATTATGTGCTGCAGTAAAGCTGCTGGGACCCGTGTTACATTTCTTGGTTGTAAGAGTTATGAGTAGAAATTGATCAGTATTAAAGTTTTTACCTGTGATCAGCGAGAGGAGGATCAGAGCCAAACTCTTCATGTTGTTCATCTTGGTTCTGATGTTGAAATGG